GGCGGAGATGCTGACTTCAAAAGGCTTACGTGAAAGGAGGGTTGTCACTGTTCGCCGGAAGAACGTCAGGTGTCGTCATGCAAATCAAGGCAGAGCCTTCCTTTGTTTCTTCAGTTTTGTTGTCTTCCTCTTCCTGTTCCAATAGTAGGCTCGTTGGAGAGTTGCTGATCTTCCTTGTACAGGTGACGACTCTGCAGTCGGCGGTAGCATCGGCGGAGGGGTTGTGCACGGCCACGAAAGAGATGTTGTCCTGACTGGCATACAACTCCTCAGTATCCTTGTTCGGTGGAGGCAATCCATTGAAGTTGCTGTAGGCATTCTTCCACTTTTCTACTACGGCAGTGCAACTAAGGTTAGCGGCATCGACGACCTGGAATGCGTATGTGCCGCTCATGAACTTTTTTCCAGGGTCTGCCTCGGAGCTTTTGCGTGCTGCTTCTTGCTGAGGACACCAAGACAACGAGGATTGTAGTACGTATTCGATGGCATCGAACTCCCTTCGGAGAACACAGCGAAAGGGGTAACTAACTTACTGGTATCAAGACATCGCAAACGGGCTTCCACACCCATTCGTCATACTCGGAGGAATCTTGCTCTCCTTCCTCAGGCAGTCTTTTCTCTTTCGCATCTGTTTGGGGTATTACGAAATCATTGAAACCGGCCTTCTTACGAGCATCGTTGATATCGGAGAGGCATGCGCCATTTTCTCCTGCAGAGACGGATATAAAATGGTGCCATAACGAGCTCCCTTATTTGCTTAGCAACCGTTTTCTGAAGCATTAAAATTTACGCTGACCCCTGACCAAGTCGACAGTACTGGCCTGCCTGTCGGGGTTTGCAATCGAGGCAGCACTTCAAGCATTCAACTTCTCCCCACGGCCAGCCAGCGTACCCAATTTGACAGCATATGTGGTTTTTTTATTTGGAGTTGGTGTTGGTGTTTCAGGTTCTTGGCCACCGCTTCCATCAACTTTGGCGAAGAGGAGGAGCGAGGCACTGACGAGAGTGAACAGTCGAAGAGCCAGCATTGTTGCCATATATGTTGGAGGCCCCGATATGCGCACTTAAAAACAATTTGTCGAATCCCTCCGACACAAAAAGTTTCTAAATTATACACGAAGAAGATATGATTGACAGGATGAAGCGCCACGCTGGCTAGATTCTTTTCGTTGGTTCAGGTGTGGTCAATGCGGGGGTGCAAGGGAGGCGTGTCTTGTTGTGCAGACCAACGGAGAAACCGGGGTTGCCACATTCTTCACCGTCGCGAGCAGGTGCAGTACACGTGTAGTTCGATTTATATTTTACATAATGACTTTGTAATTGGTTGGGCAGGACGATTTGCAACGTAGCTTGAGGCGCAAACATTGGCAACAGATGGCTATGCCGAGCAGTCCTCCGCCGACCAGGCCGTCAGAGGCTTTGCCTTCAAGGCGTCCCTGTGTGGTTGTAAAATGTTTGACCCAACCATTTACTCAACAAAAGACTGCTAACTAGTCATATTGCCGCCATCCTTGCATTGATTGACAAGGACAAGAGAAAGCGCAACACGTGCCGAGCAGTGTGGGACTCAACCCTAAGGTAACCGAGCTAACGAAGGCTTTCCTTGCAGCCGATGCTGCAAAATCATCCCTCCGTCTTTGCACAGGCTCAACCTATGCTGAAACAGAGTCAAAACGCTTAGGATAGCAAAATTTCCCGAGAGCAGCTGCCCTCCCCGTCAGCCCGGGGTTTGATGGGCACGGCGGCGTAAGCGCCTAGGTTTGATGATGCGGAGGATGGGCACCAGATCCCATCACAAGTTGCACCACTTATTGCTGCAATTGTGGGTGTAAGTTAAACACACATTCACTCATCCCTAAGCTTCTTGCCAATGTACGCTCACTGTACATAAGCGCCGAGCCGTCCATTGGCCCTCAATAACTACCTTGTAGTATCGGTATCTCACAAAGCTGCCGAAACGCCAAGGAATGCTGCGGCAAGGCCGAGCAAACTGGGCAAGACGGCCGAGGCAGATCCTTCGAAGGCGGTGACGATCTGTCCCCACTGCTCCTCTCTGCACAACGCAGACAGACAAAGCAAAGAACTGCAGTGTAGCGGCCGCCTAAAGAACAGGGCGGAGATGCAGACATCAAAAGGCTCACGTGAAAGGAGGGTTTTCACTGTTATCCGGAAGAACGTCAGGTGTCGTCATGCAAATCAAAGCAGAGCCTTCCTCTGTTTCTTCAGTTTTGGGGGTTTCTTCTTCCTCTTCCTTATCCACCTCC